CCCGCCGCCCCGCCGGCCCCCCCCCCCCCCCCCGCCCCCCGGCGCGCTATAGGGGGGGGGGGGGGGCGGGCGCGGGGCGGCGGGCGCGGGCGCGGGGAGCGGCGGAGGAAACTTTGTTACAACATGGAGTTTCCTCCGCACGGTTTTTTGCTACAAACATGGAACCCGGACGCGGTTTCAAGGAACCCCTTAAAAGGGCAATGCCAACTCCGTAACCCAAACCCGCTTCCCCCCTCCCTTCACACCACCGTCCCCATCCGGCTCACGCCCCGTGTAGGAGGAGCAGCGGGTCGCCACTGCCCGCACATTTCGGGGGTCTCGAGGTGCTGGAAGTCCCCTCCGCAGATCCCCCAACCACCGCCGCACAGCCCCGCTCCCTCTGCCACCACGTTGTCCCCACCCCTCAGCAGCTGCCGAGGATGCACCGCTGCGGTTTTCTTTCCCTCCCCGACAATCCGCAGGGAACTCGGGGTCACCCCACGAGGACGCGCCTTGGGGTGTCCCCGTTTGTCCCCCCCCCAGCCCGGACCGGTGGCGACGCCCGTGGGTCCCAGCTGTCCCCTGGCTCTGAGCGACTGTCTGGGGTGCGCTCCGGTAGGCTCGGGAGCAAAGCCGCGTCCCTGCGCGGTGCCACCACCGACCCCACGGAGACATCGAGGGGAAAAATCCCCCCATCCTGCCGGGCTGGCAGCTGTGATAGCAGGCAGTGCTGCCCCCGTGCCCTGAGGCTGCGATGTCCCCTGTCCCCGAAGAGGAAGAGGAAAGAAGCGGCCGTGCTTCCTCCGGGCCCTATTTCGAGCCGGATCCCGCCGCTGTCGCTGTCCTTTTCCGTACGGGGATGCTGAAGCTCTGGGGCCCACAGGGGCACACGCAGAGGCCGCACGCGCTGCCCGCTCTGTGATCCCGCACGAGGAGGAAGGCCTCGCGGTGCGGTGACAGCTGGTGGCCCTGGTGACCGCGGCGCCGGCCCCAGCACGACGAAGCTCGGCTTCTAATTAACTAATTAATGCAATTAGAGAGGCTCCGAGGCCAGGCTGGGAGTCAAGCACTCGAAGCATCAAGCATCCCTCCAGCCGGCTGCACGCTCGGGTACAGAGTGGGGGCTGGGAACAGGATGGGGACATGGCCTCATGCTGCATGTGTCACCGTCCCCATAAGGACCACAGCGTCTCCGCAAGGACCTCTCTGCCCCCACGAGGACCAGGCTGTGCCTCAGGCTCTTGGAGAACCATCTGGTACAGCTGCCCCCTACTCTAACCCTAACCCTGCCACAAGCTCAGCCGCCCTTGGGACACCCCGTCCCCTGCTGTCCCTATGCTCTCAGAGCCCCTCCGTGCCCCCGAGTCTCTCTGCCCTCCCCACTCCATGCAAGGGATGCCCCTCGCGCGGCCCCGAGGCCGTGGGAGGAGGATGGGGGACGGGACACACGGGGACACCCTCGACCGGCGGTGGGCCCCACCGGCCCGGCTCCTCCTTCAAGCAGCACACAGCCGGGCCAACGCGGAGGGGGGTGGGGGGAGAGGCACCGCCCCACCCGCTCTGCCATCGCCCTTTTAAGGAAGGGGAAATTCTTCACATAAACAAGCGCGGTGCCCGGGGCG